TTAATGTTATGTTTTCTCAAAGACTATTTGATACAAAAACAAATGCAACCACTTGTAACATTTATTATTTTCTGGGGATATGAATAACAATAACAATAATGCTTCCGATAATTTGCAAGTATTGATTTATTACCTAGTGTTAGGCCAGTTGTAGATCTTATATTCAGTTTAAAAATATCATAATTATTGCAGCTTATCTTTCTTAAACATAGCTCTTGGAAGCAGTGATATGCCACAAATAATCAACTCAAACATGCATAAGATTAGCAAATCAGGCTTTGCAAATATATTTGAAAGCATTTGAGTGGATAAGAGAAAGGGAGATTATGGGAGAGGTGGGGGAGATTCACTATGCAGATTCTTATGCGTAAATATATTTTTAAAGAGTGATCAGGCTTAGTGCAATAGCATCATTCTAAAATCCAGTATCTCTATAAAGCTTGATCACATTTTAGAAATCAAGACTGGTGACCTTCTGTATGAAAAGCTTCATGGTAGATCTCTGAATTGTGGTCTGTTAGGACCACACCCATACAAACTTGAATGTGTGTGCCTGTGGGGTTGCTTTATTATACAAAATTAAAGTCTTAATGCTTTGCACTTTTAGTGTTAATCCTAATTTTGTATTTGCATTTATTTTCTACTTATTCTTTTAGTACCTATATTAATCTAGGATGTAACTATAAATTCAAACTACTTATATCTCATAAGTAGATAGTCTCATAAACCGCTTTTAAGCAAACAGTTTGAAGTGTGATCAAAACAACGCAAGGAAATATATTCCATGATTTCCCTGCATTTCTATCATTTGCTACTGAAATTACTTGCTAAGTGCATCTAATTGTATTGAACAAAATCAGTTTAGGGCTTTGTGGGAATAAAATGAGTTTCAGATTTTTTTTTAAATGAAAAATGAAGCTGCCCTCAGTCCAGAAATGTTGCTTTATGGTCATTTAATTCCAGAAAACAGAGATTGCATTTGTTTTTACTAGTGTTTCTTATTTATAATTCCAGAAACGGGTGGCATTTGCATTGCTCCTCGGCCTTCAGAAGAAGGAGCTGAGATTATTCCAGCTATAGCAATGAGGCCTTTCTATGGAATTACCCCAGTGCTAATGGATGAGAATGTAAGCTAAAATACTGAAAAATTCTGGATTTTGAAAATATATTTCATTGAAAATAGCGGGAGAGGAGAATGATCTGAATTGTTCCTTAAGTACTAAACATTTTAAAGGATATTTTAAAACATTTAATAACATCCGCATTCCATCGGCCAGCCAGTGTCGGCTGGCAACCACAAGGAGGAGGGCCTTCTCAGCAGTA